ATCGAAACCGCAGTTTCTGTTTTGGGGGATCCCCTAACTTTCGATCGATAAGTCTTCAGTCTCTGAACGATATTCTCGTTTTTGTTTTGCGCAGAACTGAGGGAAAAGTTAGCGGAAAAGCTGGAAAACGCGTTACTGGACAAACAGATTGATGAGGTAACCATAACAACCGAAGTTTCCCATGACAACGAGGTTCATTCAACCCAAGTCACCAAGTTTGACGTAACAACTCCAAATGAACTAGATGGCACTACTTTCGTTACCACTACTGAAGCTGATGACAACACTAAAGTCGTTACGTCATCTAGCTTCCGCACAGAAAAAGATCGTGATGTCACAACAACGACTGTGATCGAAAACGTGTTTACAACTCGATCAATCACTTCCATTGCTTCCGCTAGATGGTTCCAGGAGTCGACTGCGGCCACAGGTTAAATTTTTTTCACTCCGAATGAGAGAAAAGGTTTCTATGCCCCCCTCTCCCTCGCCTAATTTAGCAGCACATCACCTCTTAAATTAGATTTTGAAACTTTTGGTGTCGCTGGCCGATAACCAGTTTTGGTTCTCCGCGGCTTCACTCGTCCAGTAAAACAGTAAATATTCTGCTGGTTGAAAATTTTTTTGGAAGTAGAAGCGTATAAAATAAAAACGAATAAAAAAAATAGTAATTCAATTTTTGTTTTCAGGATGTGGCGTTGTCTACAATTTGAAATGTTTCCGAGCGGTGGTTTATGACACGCAGAACATCACATTGGGCGTCGCTGTATCTCTTTGCGGAAACAATCTGGCCAACATATATGACATCACACACTACAACCTGCTTCAAGATTATTTACGACCAATGATTCCTGATAGAGAGCCATGGATTTATGTTCGTACGGGAATGACTTACGAGGTAGGTCGAGTCTGACTCATGGTTTTTATGTGGCCTCACCTGTATTATTATACTTCATTTGTATTTCTGGCAACTGGTATTTCCCGGAATGACTGAGTATAATGTCATCATTTATAAACGACTGAGCATGATCCGTGACGTCATCACTTACAGGCTACTGAGCATGATCAGTGACGTCATCGTTTACAGATGACGAACACACTTATTCGTGAATCCCCATTGCAGCATTTATCACATTTGATATTGTTACATTTCTGAAAACACATATTTTATTCCAACAGAACGGCCACCTTTATTCAACAACAGGCCATGCTATCTCTCTGCCAACTGAGGTTTGGTTTCCTGATTATCCGTATTCCGATGCATCTTGGACAGCTGTTAATTTTCGCGTCGATCGAGACCCGGAAGTCAAATATCAAGGGATTTATAATTATCGTCCTTCCAGTGCAAATCACGGAGCCATCTGTGAAAATGAATTATAACTCTGTTCATCCAAAAATCGTTGGCATATGCTTCTTTTTAAATCATCACCCATTTCACCCCGTATAAAGTAAGCTCTTTATAGGAGAAGCTAATTTTTTCTGAAAAGACCGAACGAAATCTCCTCGGCACATACGTTTCCCAACCAGTGAGGAATTTAGCCGTCTTTAGGTAATGAATACTGCTTTGTATTCTCTGTAGTATTACTAATAATCTTCAGTTCTTTTGTCAATATTATTATTCTTATTTATGCACATCTTATAACTTAAACTATACAAAAACATAAACGAGAGGCCGACCTACGCATGGATTAATTGAAGATTGGGGTGGACACTCTACCTACGGAAGGTTCTGGATACGAAAACTTCAACTTGCGAAAATTCTTGACGTAAAAATATTGCTTCGACTAACGTAAGATTTTTTACATACGAAAGGCCGAAAACCGAAAATAAAAAACGCGTGTTGGGATATTTGTTCGTTTTAGGTCAATTCAATGCAGTGTTTAAAGCAGTGAAGTCAACTTCGAATTTAATATTCGAATATCGCGACTTTCGAATATTGTTTTCCGTGTTTATAAAATAACGATTATGGCGCACAAATCCTAGCGCCGCCGTCAACGTTTCGATTTAAAACATTTTACAATTATTTCATTTTTTATCGTAATCAAACGCAAATTTGTGTGGCATGGCAATAAACAAAACAGCCGTCATGAATAGGTTGCAATTAGCGCCGACTTGAAGTGCTTATAACACGTCGAATATGTTTTCGATTGAAAATATTTTACATATGCACTAGTAAATACTAAATATTAGTGTTTTACTATTTATGAGTATTGAGAATTCAGTGAAACGGTAAAAATCATACGACAAACCCGGTCAATCTTCCGGTTATCATATAGCTCGGGTATAGGAATAGTTCACCTTTATTGTTTCAGGCAGTCTTTGGCGGCAAAAAAGCCCTATCGATCAACGTTTATGGGAACAGATTATGGTTTTTAGATGCAATAAGCAAAAAGCTTTGGTGCCGTGCCCTATATGTGAAAATTGAAAACAATGAAACTGGTGTTCTATGTTATTTGAAATTGAGTAAATATCAGTATTTATAACTAATTGAAGGCCAAGTTTTGATTTTTTTCCTTTTTTTTTAAAGCAAACTTTTATGAAGGAGTTTAAGTTGATACTTGAAAAAAAATGAAGCAAAAATTTATTTCAACCTGGTCAATATTGAGTTCTGAATCGTCTGGCCAACTAGAATTATGTGATTAACACTGAGAAACCATTGGAAATTCGTATTATGGAATTTCTGTGGCGCTCTTGCCTTGGTGCCCTGAACATGTGCTTCTTTTGCCTAATGATGAATCCAGCACTGTGAATCACTCTCGGACGGCGAGGAGTCCAGCAATCCTCACGCACATAATTGAACCTGCTGACGCGAGCAGGAGAATGAGCTGTGAAGGGGCATTCAGGTCCAAACGCTTAGCACGATACATAGCGCGTTTAAATTAAAAAGTGTTCTTCGGTTGCAATCTATACGCGGAAGCATTTGAATCATAACCTATGATGTCATACTATCATACACATGTATCCTTTATGACGAAATAATATGTATACACTGACTTCGTTACAATTATTCATTGGCCATGTATGATTCATTATTAAACTTGCATATTATACAAAAATGACATAAAAATTACAAAGTTTTTTACAGTGTGGAATTAGGAAGTGGCAACAGGAGTTGGTATTTTATTTTTACTCAGGCTTTCATTTGTGATCGCAATGTTATGAAGTTAGTTTAGCTATGTTTACTCAAATATAGCTCCTATTGAAAAGAATAGTACTAGAAGAATTACGTGCAACCACTGGGGAGGAGAGTCATTTCAGGCTTCTAATATAAAATCAATCTGCAATGGAAGCTTTCAAGCTGTTGGTCATGTGCATTGGATTCGCCACGACAGGTTAATTATTTAATTTTATTGAAGTTGTATCCGGAATGTTCTAGGAATGCGAATGAGCGTCGGTTGCGTTAAGTTGGTATTTTGGGAGTAATGAAAGTTTTACTCTATTTTATGTCGCAAAAAAAAAAAATTTTTAGGACAATCCCTCTCATTTTCACAAAACCAAATTTTTAGTACCAAACCAAAAGTATTACCGTGATTTTTTGAATGTACATGTCGAAAGCGAAAGGAAATTTAGGTAAAAGCTGGGAACCAAAAAAAAGTTCATTCTGTGTTAACTAATACACTGTTATCCAGAGTCGGACCTGCATTTTCAAATCATTCCAAGTTCTATTTTTTAAATTAAACTTTACTCAAAATTGGAGTTTCATATTCAATAGCCATGAGCCGATTCCTGTTTTGAATTGCTGGAAGTGAGAGTACTATTTTAGATTTTTTTTATCAAATCATTATTATGGTTCATGAAAGACTATAAATTTAATTTTCTGGGGTATTGGGTCGTGGGAAATTGTTTGTACGCATAACGTACAATGCTAAAATTTATTTATCTATCAACTTTAAACAATCAGCCAAAATTATTTTATTTTTGCATTTCCAGTCGATATTTCTGTGAGAGTTCAATTCAGAGACAGTGCATTGACGACGTCATACCGATATGAGAAAATGATCACGGTGAGTAATTATGGATATCACGCTTATTTTGATAATCATTAACCCTTTTATAGCTGACTTAATTTCATTGTTTTATTTTTCAGGCGAAGAATGAGAAAGGTGAGTGACGGGTTAATCTGCTACGTTATTCTCCTCCATAAAGTCAATTTAGAGACTGGAATAGAATTGCGATATGTAGAAATGGAGTCGAATTTGGCAAACGAAACAGAAAAATGGGGAAGTTGGGATTTTTTAAAAAAATCAGACCTTGAAAGTTTGTAACAATGATTAGTTTGTTGGACCCAAATATCCGATATTTTACGGACCATAAGACGTAGTTTAAATCCTCTTCTCTCCCAAAAATCGATTGTGCGCCTTATAAGCCTGGGTGCTATGTATTATCCGATACTGCTTTATTGCCTACACTCAAATACAATACCGGTACCATTGTGCGGTGCGTCTTATAGTCCGTGAAATATGGGGAGCTCTCGAAGTATTTGTACCAAGATGTTGCACAACCTGAACAAAGTATGTGTACCAGGTTAGGGTTATTCAGGTTGCGCGTCATCTTGGTACAAATTCTTTCAGAGCGTAAAATATGGTACTCAACAGTAAAGTAGAAATTGAAAAACTCCGTCATTTTTGTTTTGCTAAGAATTAAGAAAAAAATTGACTAAAAAGCTTGAAAACGCGTTACTGGACAAACAGATTGATGAGGTTACCATAACAACCGAGGTTTCCAATGGCAACGTGGTTCATTCAACCCAAGTCACCAAATTTGATGCAACAACTCCAAATGAACTGGATGGCAGAACTTTCGTTGCCACTACTGAAGGTGATGACATCCCTAAAGCCGTTACGTCCTCTAGCTACCACACAAAGAAAGATCGTGACGTCATAACAACGAATGTGATTGAAAACGTGTTTACAACTCGATCGATCACTTCCATTGCTTCCACTAGATCTTTTCAGAAGTCGACTGCGGCCACAGGTTGAATTTTTTGTTTAATCTGATTGAGAGGAAAGCTTAGTAGATTGTTTGGATGCACTACGAGTTAGGCAGTCTATATCAAGCGCGGGTGTGTGTTGTTTACACAATTCCAGTTCATATGTTCCCTAACCTACGTAATGTCAATCCAAATTTTTTTTAAATGCAGCAGCACCTTATTTATTGAGTTAGATATCAGAACATTGGGCTTCCCTTCTCCAGTAAAACTGTAAATATTCTGCTCGTTGGAAAAAAAAGTGTTTAAAGAAGAGGTGAATTAAATGTATAAAATTGAATAAAAAAACGGTTATAAGTACCTGACTCAATTTTATTCCAGACTGTGGCGTGGTTTACAATTCGAAATGTTTTCGAGCGATCGTTTATGACAGGAACAACGTCACATTGAGCGTCGCTGAATCTATCTGCGAAAACAAACTGGCTAACATTTATGACGTAACACACTACAAACAGCTTCGAGATTACTTACGAATAATGATTCCTGATGGAAGGACATCAATTTATGTTCGTACGGGAATGACTTACAAGGTGGGATGAGTCAGGGCTATGTTGCTTACGTGGCCTCTGATGAATTAATTGTATTTCTGGTAACTGGCTGAGAATGTCATCATTTAAAAATGGCTGAGCACGATCAGTGACGTCATCATTTACAGATGGTGAGCACGCTTATTCGTGAATCCGCACCTCAGCAATATAGTTAACATTATCACATGTGATATTGCTACTTTTCAGCAAGTATATATTTTATTTCAACAGAACGGCCAGCTATATTCAACGACGGGCCAAGCTATATCTTTGCCGACTGAGGTTTGGTATCCGAATTATCCGTCTTCCGTTGCATCGTGCACAACTGTTGTTGTTTTTTTCAGGCAAAACCCGGAAGACAATAATCAAGGAATTTATAATATTCCTCCTTCCTATGTATATCACGGAGTAATATGTGAAAATGAATTATAACTCTGTTTATCGAATGATTGATAAACAAAAAACTGTGAAAATGAATTTAAAAGTGATTTATGTAACTTAACTTACACTTCAACTATTTCCAGGACACGTAGTTGAACAAGCATTGAATCTTGCCGTCTTATCTTGTTTATTTTAATAAAACTGTATTTTGTTAGTTAGATTTGTCCGAACAATTTATTTTTTTATTTTATTCCTTATTCCTTGAATAAATTTATTATTTCACCCAATTTGTTCCCGAGGGAATGATAAATCTTGAAATGTTAGCGATTCGGTTAATTCAAATATATATTTCATGTTCAAGACATTTCAAGAAATAATAAAAATTGTTTGATACCTCATATATAATGGCTTAGTATCAGTAACCTCGAAATATTTGATAAAAAGTTTAAAATAATATTAATAAACCAAAAAATTTTCAAAAAGCTTAAAATAAAATTAACACTTTTTCATAATCTATAAGTGAATTTGGATTTATTATATAACCAATTAAAGTCTGCAATTCCGAAAAAAAATTAGACCTTCGACTCCATTGGAAACTAGCTAAACTCCGACTACACAACTTAGTTGAAATTATCGTTTTATGCAAATCAGATTCATTGAACAAAACTTGGAATTCAAATTACGAAATAATTAACAAACCTTTTTGACCGTGACTTATTTATATCATTACTTTATTATTTCTCAGTATTTATTTTTTTTATCGCTTTTTAACATTTTCTTCAATATGAATCGCATGCACTTGATCTATGTAGTGACGTAAACATTGTTTCAGTTTAACTTGTGGGATAATTCATTTGTTATTGTTGACGACGTAATTTGACATAATTGACAGTGTGCTTCTACACACTTTGTTACGAAACAATTGAAAGAGTGTTCGAAAGCGACAGCTTGCTCAGACATGTGTCGCTTAGTCATGGGTAGTTTCGGTACTTTGCCTTTATATAGCGTTTTACTTTTGTAGACAGTGGCGCTCGTTTCTTTGTAAATAAGTTGAATTAGTTGAACTTTTTTTTCTGACATTTGGATTTTTGCGCGCGATTGTACAATGTTTATTAGGGTTTCTCCATATAGGCCTAGTTTAATGATATTTCTATGAGCATTAGACTGTCTTTGTGATTGTTTTTACATTTATAATTTAATTTTTTGATTTCATTGACGAATAGCAACGAATTCGGTATGTTATAATTTGTAACTCTTTCTAATTTGAAGACTGCAAGGTATTTAATATTAATTGTAGTGATTTCACGTGATTGAAACCACCTTTAGTTCCACATTCTTTTCTAACAAGTTCGAGTTATCATATCGTTGATGTTTCAAGCCTCCATATCTTCTTATATCAATTGCTATGCCCATATATTTGTACTGAGACATTTCTCTCAGATCAAATGACATATTAATTAGGAGATTTTTTGGTTCGACATGCTAATTAACTATATTTGATTGTGTCATACTATTGTATAAATTGCATAATTTGTGTTTGAAACATATATTCATATGACTTACTATGTAGAGTAAAATTCCTTGTTTTCATAATTTTGAGTAGGCTTCCGGAAGGCCGAATTAATTGGGATTTATTGCAAGTATTTTGTGTTGATTTGCTTTACATTAAGATAACTGTGTCAACTGTATACTTTAAGTTGCGTGATTTTCTGGATTTTGAAGATACAAAATAAGGGCTTGAACGACATGGTTTTAAACTGTTAATAAATTCTAGTGAGCAGTCGGTGTCGCCCAAGCACAAGGAACAGCTGTTAAACCTTTCACGTGATTAAAACCACCTTTAATAACAGCTTTTTCCCGTAGTTTTCACATTCTTTTCCAACAAGTTCGAGATCCCATATTGTTGATGTTTTTAGACCCCATATCTCCTTACACAATTGCTATGTCCATATATTTGTACTGAGACACTTCTCTCAGATCAAATGACATATTAATTAGGAGATTTTTTGCTTTGAATTCTTTTACACATATCAAGATTATTCACCCCAACTTTTGGGTTCAAGTTTTCACTTTCGTTTCGATTTTCACTAAATTAAACTTTTGTTCCCGAGGAAAATATGAGAATTCAAATTATTTGTAAACAAGTTGACAACATTTTTGAATTCAATCGCAGCATTGTGTTTGCTTTGAAATAATTGAGTTTAATTTTTATTCGAAGACTTTCCTCGCGTGACAAAATAAGACAAGTAATTTACATTATTCTAACTTTAACCCTCGACTGTCAAAAACGCCCCAACGGACAGGTAAACTTGATTTTATTCCTTTTGAGTGTGAATTATTGTGATTCCCAATTAATATTTTGCTCTGGTATTTCATTTGCTAGATGTGTTTCTAATTATTATTATTTTTCGACAAATTATTTTGTCAGAACAAACTTAACAAATGATATTTAATAATAATAAATTGAACTTGCAGAAATGTTATTGTTACTTTGCGTGAATAAAATTGTCTTGCAAAATATTACCGGTGTATTTTGGAAGCTTTTACGTAATATATTAAGCTGTGGTGAAAGCCAGCATTCGAGTATTTTGGTGCAATTTGACGATTTTTGCGCGCTTTACGAAAGACTTCGCATTTCACCCCGAATAAGGAAAACTTTTTATAGAGAAAGCTCTTTCCATGATGATACTTGATAAGAAAAAGAAGCAAAATTTTAACCTGGTCAATATTGAGTTTTGAATCGTGCTCATCTTCAGATCATGATCTTTTTGGGATGTTGGTGTTTTGTATGCTGGCTATATATTAGCGTAGTTAATATCTTAGCGTTAATGTAATAGGTTTATGTTATTAAAGTTAAGTTAGGACACAAATCAATCTTATGTATATGCGACAAAAAAATGTAGCGGATGTTGAAAACGAGCGATCGATTGTCTTACGCTGTCTCACAGCAAACCATTGACTGCAAACATTTTATCAAGTGTTGATTTGATCCAATCCTGGAAAACATGAAAGTCTTGCCTTATTTTTAGTTTTTCAAAACTCTGACACAAGTGGTAGTTTGAAGCTAATACCCAAACGTACAGATTTCTAAAAGAATTTCAGTCCCTAATTTTTCTGGCATTCCCTTTGAATTACATAAATTCCTAGTGCTGACGCGAGCGAGGGAAATATCTATGAAAGGGCATTCTGGTCCGAACGCTCAGCACAATACATAGCGCGTTTAAATTAAAAAGTTTTCGTCGGTTGCAATCTATACGCGGAAGCATTTGAATAATAACCTGTGATGTCATACTATCATACACATTACCCTCTATGACGAAATAATATATATACACTAACTTTGATACAATTATTCATTGGCCATGTATGATTAATTGATAAACTTAAATATTACATAAAAATGACATTGAAATTACAGACTTTTTGACAGTGTGGAATTATAAAGTTGCAGCATTTTATTTTTGCTCGGGCTCACATATAGGTCGTTGTATTACAAAGCTAGTTTACTTATGTTTGTTCGAATGTAGCTCTCAGTGAAAAGAGTATTAAAAGAAAAATTACACGCAAACTCTGGGGAGGAGAAGAGTTATTTTAGGATTCTATTCACAAATTTAGCGATTGCAATAAAATCAATCTGCAATGGAATCTTTCAGGTTGTTGTTCATGTGCATTGGATTTGCAACGACAGGTGAATTATTTAATATTGATAATTTGTTGCTGGAATGTGACTGAGCGTCGACTGCTTTTTAAAGTTTTACGCTGTTTTATATCACACCAAACCAAACGCAATTCCGGGGGAGTCCCCTCTCCCATTTTAACAAAACCAAAATTTGAAACAATTCCCAAATTTTCAAGTCAAAAGTGGAAGAAAATTTAGGTTGAAATATCAAAACAAAAAGGTAGTTTTTGTTACACAATGTTATCCAGGGTCGGACCCAATTTTCCTCTTTTAAATTTCCTCGAAATTGAAGTCTTATATTTAAATATCTGTGAGCCGAGTCTTGATTTCTTCGGGTTGAGCTGTTTGTAGTTTTTATCAATCCCTTGATATGGTTCATGAAAAACTCGATCAATTTGATTTTCTGGTGTATTGGGTCGTCGGAAATGCATTGTAGGATGCATGTACGCAAAATATGTAATGTTAGAATATATTTTTCTTTCCCCTTTAAACAGTCAGCTAAAAGTATTTTATTTTTGCATTTCCAGTCGACATTACTGTGAAAGTTCGATTCAGGGGCAGTGCAGTTATGACGCCATACCAATATGAGGAAACGACCACGGTGAGTAATTAGGGCTTATTTTGATGATCATTAACCTTTCTTATAGCTGACTCAACTTTATTGTTTCATTTTACAGGCAAAGAATGAGACAGGTGAGTTACGGTTTAACCCACTGCGTTATTCTCTTTTATGAAGTAAATTTAGAGACTGCGATAGCTTTGTGATTTGGGGAATTTAAAAGCATTTAGTTAATGAAGTCGAATTTGACAAACATGTTTTAAAACTACCATCGAATTCGAGAGTTGTTAACAAATAGTAGTTGCATCCGAATATACTGTATTTCACGGGGAGCTTCAGAAGTATTTTTATCAATATCGTGGTAATTAATTTTGTTCGCCTACTTCACATCAAGTTGTGTAAAGGGACGGAAGGTTATGGGCAGGCGTACGTTGAATCCATTTTCTCCCCAAAAAATCGGTTGTGCGCCTTATAAGCCGGTCCGCCCCATGTATGATCAATCGGTTCCATTGTTTTTAAACCGACGCAACCAAATCAAACCTAAGCTACTCATTGGTCGTGCGCCTTATGCTCCACAAAATACGGTACTCAACAGTAAAGTAGAAGTTGAAAAATACCTTAATTTTTGTTTTGTACAGAATTGAGGGAGAAATTGACTGAAAAGCTTGAAAACGCTTTACTGGACAAACAGATTGATGATGTTACTATAACAACCAAAGTATTCCATGGCAACGAGGTTCATTCAACCCAGGTCATCAAGTTTGACGTAACAAATCCAAATGAACTGGATGGCACTACTTTCGTTACCACTTCTGAAGGTGATGACATCATCGTTACGTCATCTAGCTTCCAAACAGAGAAAGATCTTGACGTTACAACAACGACTGTGATCGAAAACGTGTTCACAACCCGATCGATCACTTCCACTGCTCCCACTAGAATGACTAGATCGTTCCAGAAGTCGACCGCGGCCAAAGGTTAGATTTTTCGTTCAATGATAGTAGATTGTTTAGCGGCACTACGAGTTAGGCGGTCTATGTTAAGCAAGGGTGTGTGTTGTTCCCACATTTATGGTTCTCTTGTCCACCATCTCGCCCAATGTTAGATAAATTTGTTGAATATTATGAAACCGGAGATCCCGAACTCTCCATAATAGCTCCTTACTTTGTAGTGTGTCTTTTACAGAGCCTTGATTGAGTAGATGCATATCTAAGTAACTGACTTCAAATGATGTTCCTTGTAATCTTTATTTTCAGGATGTGACATCGTTTATAATTCGAAATGTTTTCAAGTGATCTTTTCAGCAGATGTTACGTTGAGCGCTGCTGAATCTCTTTGCGAAAACAAACTTGCTAACATTTATGACATCACACACTACAAAAAGCTTCAAGAATATTTACGAGTAATGATTCCTGATGAATGGTCTTCGATTATAGTTCGTACGGGAATGACTTACAAGGTGGGCGGCCTTACATGAAATAAATATATTTCCTTTGTATTTCCGGATTTTTTTTTAAATGACTGAGCATGACGTCATCTTTATAAACGACTGAACATGATCAGGGGCGTTATCATTTGTAGATGGCTGAGAATGAGCAATGGCCTCATTATTTACAGATAGTTGAGTATGATCAGTGGCGTTATCATTTGTAGATGGCTGAGTTTGATCGGTGATGTCATCATTTACAGATTACTGAGTATGATCAGGGACGTCATTATTTGCAGATGACTGAGCATGATCAGTGGCGTTATCATTTTTATAGATGACTGAGTTTGATCGGTGATGTCATCATTTACAGATGGCTAAGTATGTTCAGTGACGTCATTATTTACAGATGGTTGAGCATGATCAGTGACGTCATTATTTACAGTTGTTTGAGTATGATCAGTGACGTCATTATTTACTGATGGCTGAGTATGATCAGTGACGTCATAATTTGAAGATGACTGAGTATGATCAGTGAGGTCATCTTTTACAGATGGCGAGCACACCTATTTGTGAATTCACAGTTTCGCTACATTTCTGAAAACACATATTTCATCTTAATAGAACGATCAGCTGTATTCAACAACGGGCCAAGCTATCTCTCTGCCAACTGAGGTTTGGTATCCTAATTATCCGCATTTTGATGCATCGATGACAACTGTTGCTGTTTGTGTCACTCGAAACCCGGAAAACATTTATCACGGGATTTTTAATACTCCTCCTTCTTATGCATATTCCGGAGCAATCTGTGAAAATGACTTATAATTCTGTTTTTCGAATGATTGATAAAGAAAAAACTGTGAAATGAATTTAAAAGTGATTTATGTAACTTAATTTACATTTCAACTATTTCCAGGACACGTCGTTGAACAAGCATTGAATTGAATCTTGCCGACTTTTCTTCTTAATTTTAATAAAACTGTATTTTGTTAGTTAGATTTGTACCGAACAAATCATTTTTTTATTTTATTCCTTATTTCTTGAATAAATTTATTATTGTAACCCAATTTGTTAGAAATAATAGCGATTCGGATTATTCAAATATATATTTCATGTTCAAGACATTTCAAGAAATAATAAAAGTTGTTTAATTTCTCATATATAATGGCTTTGTATCAGTAACCTCGAAATATTTGATAAATGTTTAAAAAAATATTAATAAAACAGAAGGCAAACTTGCTCCAAAAACTTAAAATAAAATTAACACTTTTTCATAATCTAGAAGTAAATTTTGATTTAATATATAACCGATGAAAGTCTGCAATTCCAAAAATAAAATTAGAACTTCGACTCTATTAAAAACTAGCTAAACTCCGACTACACAACTTAGTAAAGGTTGTCGTTTTATGCAAATTAGATCCATTGAACAAAACTTGGAATTAAAATTACGAAATATTCAACAAACATTTTTGACCATGATTGATTTATATCATTACTTTATTATTTCTCAGTATTCATTTTATCTCTTTTTAACATTTTTTCCAATTTAAATCGCATCCACTTAATTTTTGTAGTGACGTAAACATTGTGTCAGTTTAACTCGTGAAATAATTTATTTGTTATTGTTAACGCCGTAATTTTTCAGGATTGACAATGTGGCAGCAAATAATCCTTTTTGTAGTGACGTAAACTATTTCTAATACCCATAGTTAACAAGCATTCAAATATTGCCTGGCCTATGTCGGGCTTTCCTTGCGTGGGACTTTCAATAAAACTGCATTTCGTTTGTTAGATTTCCACCAAACAAATAATTTTTTTTTCTTTCCCATTTCTTGAATTTATTATTTTAACTCAATTTTTTCCGAGTAAATGATAAAGTATATCGAAATGTTTGTGATTTGATTTATTCCATGAAGTGTAAAATGGTTTCATATCTTATGGGTAATGACTTAGAATTAGTAATTCTAATTTATGAACATTTCAAAAATTCCTGTGAAGTTAAGCAAATCCACACTCGACTCCCTATTTGCCTGGTTAAAAATTGACTCCACACCAGCTGCGAGAAATCCAGATTTTGACAATGAAAACTATGGTGTATCCAAGCCGTTTTTAATTTAATGTTTCGAAAGTCTAGTTAACTTGATATTTTTGGAACAAATAAGTAAGACTTATTATTCAACTATTGAAAGTCTAAAATTCAGACAAATTCAGATCTTCCCCTGAACTTTGTGTAAGGTTCTGTAAGGTTTGTCAGTTTACAACGAATCATTTTGTGCAAATTAGATTCATTTAGAAAAATCGAAATCAAAATCACGAAATAATCAAGTAATAATCAGGTATTTTCGTGAAAACATTTTTGACCGTGATTGATTTATATTATTGCTTTAATATTTCTCAGAAATTGTTTTATTTCTTTTTACCCTTCATAAAACGGAAACGTTTACAGTAACAGCAGTACAAATGATAACTGTTTTTTACTGGAATATTTTGTGCATTGTTTTTAATTATTTATTTCGAAAAATCTATGAGTTCTGTTTTAGGCCCCTTTATCAGTTGTTTGGTCCGTATATTTTGATAGATATTTCTCCCAGATAAAAATACCACAATAATTTTTGCTGTGATATCTTTTACGAAGAATTAACTCAACTTTTGAGCCAAATTTAAAACAAAAGTGAAAAATCAGACCCATTTTTAACTTTTGTTTTGACTTATTTTTGATTTCCATGATATTTAAAATTTTGTTTTCACAAAAACACATTCGAGTTGAATACAGTTATAGCATTGAGCTTACTTGAAATAAGCGAGCTATCATTTTTATTCGTAGACCGCTTTGGCTGTCAAAATATGACAAGCGAACTCCTCTATGAATCCAATCACAGCATCGTTTGCTTCGAAATAAACAAGTTTTTTATTCTCCTAATGACCCCCGTACCCCACCCCCCTCTCGACTGTCAATAATTGCCCTAACAGAAAAGCAACTTTCATTCCTAAAGTGTGTGAATTATTGTGATTCCTTTTGAACTTGCTCTGTATTTTATTTTTTAGATATGTTTCCCATTATTATCAATTTTCGACAAAATAATTCGCCAAAACAAATTATTTTTCACGAACTGAACTGAAAAAATTAAATTTATGAAAATAGTTTGAACTTCTAGTGCAGAAATATTATTTTTTACTTTGTGTGAATAAAATTATCTCACAAAACATCAACAGTGTATTTTGAAAGATTCATCAAGATTCATCATCATTTTTTTGGTGCAATTTAACGAGTTCCACACGTTTTAGCATTTTTTTACGATTTCTGACGGAAGTCTCTGCTCCGAATAAGGAAAGCTTTTATAGAGTAGCTACTGTCATGTTGATAATTGAGGATAAATGAAGCAAAATTTTAACCTGGTCATTAACATTGAGAACCATTGCAAATTCGTCTAGGGAATTTTTGTGGCGCTCCATCTGCCTCGGTACCCTAACCCTGTGCTCATTTTTGCTTAATGGGTAATCCAGCACTGTGAATCACTCTCAGATGGCGAGGAGTCCAGTAATTCTCCCGCACATAATTGAACCTGATGACGCGAACAGGGTAATAAGCAATAACAGGGCATGCTGGTCCAAACGCTCAGTATGATTACATCGAGCGCTCATTTTAATGAGTGTTCGTTCGTGCTATCCTTACGCGGAAGCATTAGAATAATGACCTGTGATGTCATAAAATCATATACATTCTATTCTATGACAAAATATTAACTAAGCTATAATTATCCATTGGCCATGTGTGATTCATTGATAAACTTGCAGATTACACAAAAATGAGATTGAAATTACAAACTTTTTTACAGTGTGGAAGTAGGAAGCGGCAACAGGAGTTAGTATTTCACTTTTACTCAGGCTTTCATTCGTGGTCGCAACGTTATGAAATTAGTTTAGCTATGTCTGCTCAAATAAAGGGTCTCAGTGAAAATAGTATTGCTAGAAAAATTACGTGCAACCACTGGGGAGGAGAGTAATTTCAGGCTTTTAATATATAATCAATCTGCAATGGAAGCACTCAAGCTGCTGTTCATGTGCATTGGATTTGCCACGGCAGGTGAATTGTTTTATCATTGATAGTTTTTTGCTAGAATGTTCTAGGAATGCAAATGAGCGTCGATTGCGTTCAGTTGGTATTTTGGGAGTGATGAAAGTTTTCAAGGAAACCTACCTTGTTGTCACAAAACCAAAATTTGAAAAAATAGGCGATTTTTTCAATTTCAAAAGCTGGGAATGAACCAAAAAAAAAATAATTTCATCTTGTTATATAGGTTGTTCATAAAGTCTCAATATTGCTGAATCGATACCATTTATTGTTTTGTTCCTTACAGATGTATTAGATAAGGTAAAAATTTTCAAAGTTGAAGTCTTACATTCAATACTTAATTATCCTATTTTTCTATTCTTCGGGATTGAAATGGTCGAAATTTTTATCAATCCATCAATATAAATTATAAAGTATTGAAATAAAATACTTTTCTAGGATATTGATTGGGTCGCGGATAAAATAGGTTCCTTGTTTGATGCAATTACGCATGACACACACTGCTAAATTTATTTTTCTATCCTGTTCAAGAATCAGTTAAAATTATTTCATTTCCGCATTCTCAGTCGATATTTCTGTGAGAGTTCAATTCAGAGGCAGTGCATTGATGAAGCCGTACCGCCATGAGGAAACGATCACGGTGAGTAATTACGGCTTATTTTTGTGATCATTCCCTTTTTTATAGCTGACTCAAATTTACTGTTTTATTTTACAGGCAAAGAATGAGACAGGTGAGTTACGGGGTTAATCTCTTTTATAAAGTAAATTTAGAGACTGTGATAGGTTTGTGATTTGGAGAATTTAAAACCTTTTTAAATCTGGCATGAGAAAAATGTAACAAAATTTTAATTTGTAACCTTATAAATTATCGTATATATATAACCCCAATTCGTCTTAGACAACAGCCAGGGGTGGGCAAGGTTTTTGGACCAAAGGACAAAAATCTTGCTCACCTAGACTGGCGGACCATGTAAGTGTGACGTAAAAAGTTTCATTCTATGAATGAATATTCGTAATGTTACAAAATCAAAGATAGAAAACAATTTTCCTCGTGCCATAACTAAATTGAATCGCGATCTTAACAAATTCCATGTGCTAACGTTTAGCTAAAACATCAAAATTTGGTTTTAGATTGGTTGTGTGAGCATCAGGTGGGCCAGATTAAATCACCCAACGGGACGGTATTTGCTCATGTCAGCCTTAGACTCTAATCATCGGAATAAAACCGAGAACATCTGCTGTCATAAAACAATGATCTCTCATTCATGATCTGATGAAATCATCCATATTTCCCACTTTTAATAGTTCATTCGATCAATTTCACAATACATTTGACCTCAATTACATCGCTGATTGTGTCAACCGAAAAAAAACATCCTTGCTCACCCCAAATTACTCCTATTAAAAAGGCGGAGGGAACTAGCCCCTAACTGGTTCTAAAAGGGCCGAAAAAATAGGAAATAAATAGATAATCGAATGACCCAATGCAAAATAATTCAGAGCAAAAATGCGAAAAATAGAATCAGTAAATGTCATGAATAATATAAAAAGTTACTGGACAAAGAGATTGATGAGATTACCATAACAACCGAAGTTTCTCAAGACAACGAGGCTTATTCAACCAAAGTCACCAAGTTTGACGTGACAGCTCCAAATGAACTGGATGGCACGACTTTCGTTACCACTACTGAAGGTGATGACATCACTAAAGACGTTACGTCATCTAGCTACCGCACAGAGAAAGATCGTGACGTCACAACAACGACTGTAATTGGAAACGTGTCCACAACTCGATCGATCACTTCTATTGCTTCCACTAGATCATTCCAGAAGTCGACTGCGGCCACATGTGAGATTTTTTGATCACTCTGAATGAAAGGAAAGTTTAGTAGATGTTTAGCGGCACTACGAGTTAGGGCTAGGCGATCTATGTTAAGCGCGGGTGTGTGTTGTTTACACATTTCTGGTTCGTATATCCACCACCTCGCCCACTGTTAGATAAATTTGTTGGACAATGTGAAACTGGAGATTCTGAACCGTTCGTAGTAGCTCCTTACTTTGTAGTGTGTATTGTGGAGAGCCTTGTTTGGAGTAGAGTCTGAATTTTCTTAAATTTAACAACACCTCATCTCGTGAATTAGATATTACCACATTTGATGACGCTGCTCGATAACCAGTCTTGATTCCCATTGCCCAGTAAAACTGTAAATATTTTGCTGTTTGGAAACAATGTTTGGGATAAAGGCGTATAAAATTTTAATTTTATTTCATTCCTTTTGTGTGTGGATTATTGTGATTCACGTTTATTTTGCTCTGGTATTTTATTTGTTAGATGTGTTTTTAATTATTAATATTTTTGGACAAAATAATTTTTCAGAATGAATTATTTTTCACGAACTGAACACGAGAAAAAATAAACTTTAATAATAACTTTGACTTTGCATGAATAAAATTGTCTTGCAAAACATTACCGATGTATTTTGAAAGCTTTCACGTAATATCAAGTTGTGGTGAAAGCCAACACTCGAGTATTTTTGGTTCAATTTGATTATTTTTGCACGTTTTAGCAATTTTGTCGATGGTTTTTGAAGGAAGTCTTCGCATTTCACCTCGAATAAGAAAAGCTTTTAATGGAGGAAGCTACTTTCATATTGATACTTGAGGAGAAAAAAAGCAAAATTTCAACCTAGTCGATATTGAGTTCTGAATTGCCTGGCCGACTAGAATTATGTAATTAAACATTTAAAATTAGTGTAAATTAGTTGAATTTCAGTGTCTCCCGGTTTGACTTTGTGCCCTAACCATGTGTTTATTTTGCTTAATGGCTAATCCAGCACTGAACAATCTTCCCGCACATAATTAAACCTGCTGACGCGAGCAGGGGAATGAGCTGTGAAGGGGCATTCTGGTCCAAACGCTTAGCACGATACATAGCGCGTTTAAATTAAAAAGTGTTCTTCGGTTGCAATCTATACGCGGAAGCATTTGAATAATACCCTATGATGTCATACTATCATACACATGTATCCTTTATGACGAAATAATATGTATACACTGACTTCGATGCAATTATTCATTGGCCATGTATGATTCATTATTAAACTTGCATATTATACAAAAATGACATAAAAATTACAAAGTTTTTTACAGTGTGGAATCAGAAAGTTGCAGCATTTTATTTTTGCCCGGGCTCACATTTGGATTGTTGTATTACGAAACTGGTTAAGTTATGTTTGTTCGAATGTACCTCTCAGTGAAAAGAGTATTGGAAGAAAAATTACACAAAACCTCTGCGGAGGAGAAGAGTTATTTTAGGATTCTATTCACAAATTTCGCGATTGCAATAAAGTCATTCAGCAATGGAAGCTTTCAAGCTGCTGTTCATTTGCTTTGGATTCGCCACGACAGGTGATTTATTCATTAATAATACTTTGTTGCCGAAATGTAACTGGGCGTCGGCTGCTTTTTCAAGTTTTAACCTGTTTTATATCACACCAAAAGCGATTCCGGGGTAATCCCCATTTTACCAAAACAAAAATTTGAAAAAATTCCCAAGTGTTTATGTCAAAAGTGGAAGGAAATTTAGGTTGAAATATCGAAACAAAAAGTTTTTTTTGTTACGTAATGTTATCCAGCGTCGGACCCAAATTTCCCTTTTTCAATTTCCTTGAAATTGAAGTCTTATGTTTAAATATCTGTGAGCCGAGTCTTATTTTCAAATTGCTCAAAAAGGGAGTACTATTTTTGATTTCTTTGGAGTTGAGATGTTTATAGTTTTTATCAATCCCTTGAGACGGTTCATAAAAAAATCAATTTGATTTTCTGGTGTATTGGGTCGTCGGAAATTCTTTGTAGGATGCATGTACGCAAAATACTTAATGTTAAAATATATTTTTCTATCTCCTTTAAACAGTCAGCAAAAAATTATTTTATTTTCGCATTTCCAGTCGACATTACTGTGAAAGTTCGATTCAGGGGCAGTGCAGTTATGACGCCATACCAATATGAGGAAACGACCACGGTGAGTAAATACGGCTTGTTTTCATGATCATTAACCCTTCTTATAGCTGACTCAACTTTATTGTTTTATTTTACAGGCAAAGAATGAGAATGGTGAGTTACGGGTTGACCCACTGCGATATTCTCTTTTATAAAGTAAATCAAGAGACTGTGATAGCTTTGTGATTGGGGGAATTTAAAAGCTTTTAGATAATGAAGTCGAACTTGGCAAACATGTTTTAAAACTATTATCGAATTCGAGAGCTGTCAACAAATAGTAGATAGTTGCATCCGAATATACTGTATTTTACGGGGCGCTTCAGAAGTATGTTTACCAATATCGTGGTAAATAATTTTGTTCGCCTACTTCACATCAAGTTGTGTAAAGAGACGGAAGCTTATGGGCAGGGGCTCACACACACAGCCCCCGAATTCGTAATAGAACAACTATGTCCTGGTACACCTACTACGGTGTTACCTTCTATGGACCATCAGGCTTACGTTGAATCTATTTATTCCCCCATAATCGGTTGTGCGCCTTATAAGCCGGTCCGCCTCATGTATGATCAGGTAGTGCATTATTGCCTACACTTCAAACCAGTATCGGTACCATTGTTTTTAAACCGACGCCGTTTACGTTTTTATTTGTTTAATAAGTTTTGTACGGTAAACCGATAAAAAAACGAGCGTCTTATTTCTCCCAAGTGCGCCTAATGGGGGAACAAACCCCAAATCTAAGCTACTTATTGGTCATGCGCCTTATACTCCGTAAAATACGGTACTCAACAGTAAAGTAGAAGTTGAAAAACACTGTAATTTTTGTTCTGTACAGAATTGAGAGAGAAATTGGCTGATAAGCTTGAAAACGCTTTACTGGACAAACAGATTGATGAGCTTACCATAACAACCGAAGTATTCCATGGCAACGAGGTTCATTCAACCCAGGTCATCAAGTTTGACGTAACTAATCCAAATGAACTGGATGGCACCACTTTCGTTACCACTACTAATAGTGATAACATCACTAAAGACGTTACGTCATCTAGCTTCCAAACAGAGAAAGATCGTGACGTCACCACAACGACTGTTATCGAAAACGTGTTTACAACTCGATCAATCACTTCCATTGCTCCCACTAGATCGTCCCAGGAGTCGACTACAGTCACAGGTTAGATATTTTATTTACTCTGAAAGAGAGGAAAGCATAGACGATTGTATAATGGAATCGCGAGTTAGCCGGTCTATGTCAAACACGGGTGTGTGTTGTTTACACATTTCTAGTTTTTATGTCCACCATCTCTCCTACGTAATGTCAAACCAGAAAGATTCGGAATTTTTCAAAATTCAGCATTACCTTATGTCTTGAATAAGGTATTAGAACTTTGGGTGTCGCTGCTCGATAACCAGTTTTGGTTCCTTGCAACCTCCCCTGCCCAGTAAAACTGAAAATATTTTACTGTTTGGAAAAAATAGTTTGAATTAGAGACATATAAAATATAAATTAAAGAAAAAATAGTTATAGGTAACTGACTCATTTTTTTTAGAATGTGGCGTGGTTTACAAATCAAAATGTTTTCGAGCAATCGTTTATGACACATGGAACGTCACATTGAGCGCCGCTGAATCTATTTGTGAGAATAAACTGGCTAACATTTATGACGTTACACACTACAACATGCTTCGAGATTATTTACTACCAATGATCCCTGATAGGCTACCATGGATTGGTGTTCGTACGGGAATGACTTACGAAGTACGACGAGCCTTGGTCATTTTAATAATGTAGCCTTACTGGTATTAATATATTTTATTGTATTTCTGGCAACTGGTATTTTCCAAAATGACTGAGAATGATAAAGGATGTCATTATTTTAGATGTCGTCATTAGTTAGACGTCAAGCACACTTATTCGTTAATCCACACTGCAGCAAATATCACGATTGGTATTGCTATATATCTGAAAACACATATTTTATTTAACAGAACGGTGGACTGTATGCAACGACGGGCGAAGCTGTAAATCTGCCAACTGAGGTTTGGTATCCGAATTATCCGTCTTCCGCTGAATCGTTTACAACTGTTGTTGTTTATGTCACTCGAAACCCGGAGAACAATTCTCAAGAGATTTTCAATATTCCTCCTTCCTATGCATATCACGGAGCCATCTGTGAAAATGAATTTTAATTCTGTTTATTGAATGATTGATAAACAAAAAATTATGAAAATGAATTTAAAAGTGATTTATGTAACTTAATTTACATTTCAACAATTTCCAGGACACGTAGTTGAACAAGCATTGAATCTTGCCGACTTTTCTTGTTTATTTTAATAAAACTGTATTTTGTTAGTTAGATTTCTACCGCACAAACTGTTTTTTATTTTATTACTTATTTCTTGAATAAATTTTTATTTTAACCCAATTTGTTCTTGAGGGAATGATGAATAATCTAGAAATGTTGGCGATTCAGTTTATTCATTATATATGTTTCATGTTCAAGACATTTCAAGAAATAATAAAAATCGGTTGATACCTCATATTTATTGGCTCAGTATCAGTAATCTCGAAATATTTGATAAAAGTTCAAAAATAATATTAATAAGACAACAGGCAAACTTCTTTTGAAAGCCTAATAAAATTAATCCTTTTTTATAATCTATGAGTAAATTTTGATTTAATATATAACTAATGAAAGTCAGCATTTCCGAAACAAAAATTAGATCATCGACTTTATTGGAAACTAGCTAAACTCTGGCTACACAACTTAGTAACGATTGTCGTTTAAAGCAAATTAGATTCATTGAACAAAACTTGGAATTCAAATTACGAAATAATTAAATATCGCTGGATAAACATTTTTGACCGTGATATGTTTATATTATTACTTTATTATTTCTCAGTATTTATTTTTTATCTCTTTTTAATATGTTTTTCAATATGAATCGCATCCACTTGATCTTTGTAGTGACGTAAACATCGTTTCTTAACTTGTGGGATAATTCATTTGTTATTGTTGACGACGTAATTTGACATAATTGAAAGTGTGCTTGTACACACTTTATTACGAAACAATTGAGAGAGTGTTCGAAAACGACAGTTTGATCAGACATGTCTCGCTTAGTCATGGGTAGTTTCGGTTTATATAGCGTTTTATTTTGTAGACAGTGGCGCTCGTTTCTTTGTAAATAAGTTGTAAATTGGTTGAACTTATTTTCCTGACATTTGGTTTGTTGCGCGCGATTGTATAATGTTTATTAAGGTTTCTCCATATAGGCCTAGTTTAATGATATTTCTATGAGCATTAGATTGTCTTTGTTATTTTTTTACATCTATAGTTCAATTAATTGATTTCATTGACGAATAGCAGACGAATTCGGTATGTTATAATTTGTAACTCTTTTTAATTTGAAGACTGCAAGGTATTTAATAATAATATGGTCCTGCTAATTAACTACATTTGATAATTGTGTCATACTGTTGTAATGTTGCATAATTTGTGTTTGAAGTATATATTCATGTGACTTACTGTACAGTGTAAAATTTCTTGTGTTCATGAATTTGAATAGGCTCCTATAAGGCTGAATTAATTAGGATTATTTATTTATTGCAAGTATTTTGTGTTGATTTGTTTTATGTCGTTTTAGGACAAAATTAAAAGACCTGGTTATTGAACTGTTATTAAATTCTAGTCAGAAGTCGGTGTCGTACAGGTCACAAATTACAAATACTACACCTTAAAACCATTTTCAGTAACAGCTGCACAGATGATATCTGGCTGAAATATTTTTCGCGGAGTTTTCACATTCTATTCCAACAAGTTCGAGATCCCACATTGTTGATGTTTTAAGCCTCCATATCTCCTATTATAAGTTGCCATGTCCATGTATTTGTACTGGGATATTTCTTCATTGATGTTTTGGGTTCACTTTTGGGATCAAGTTTTCACTTTCGTTTCGATTTTCACTAAATTAAACTTTTTTTCCGAAGAAAATATGAGAATTCAAATTTGTAAATAAGTTGACAAAATTATTGAATTCAATCGCAGCATTGTGTTTACTTCAAAATAATTGAGTTTGATTTGTATTCGAAGACTTCGCGTGACAAAAAAAAGGCAAGTAATTTACATTATTCTAACTTTGACCCTCGACTGTCAGAAACGCCCCAACGGACAGGTAAACTTTATTTTATTCCTTTTGAGTGTGAATTATTGCGATCCCCAATTAATATTTTGCTCTGGTATTTCATTTGCTAGATGTGTTTCTAATTATTATTATTTTTCGACAAAATATTTTGTCAGAACAAACTCAACAAATGATATTTAATAATAATAAATTGAACTTGCAGAAATGTTATTGTTACTTTGCGTGAATAAAATTGTCTTGCAAAATATTACCGGTGTATTTTGGAAGCTTTTACGTAATATATTAAACTGTGGTGAAAGCCAGCATTCGAGTATTTTGGTGCAAATTGACGATTTTTGCGCGCTTTACGAAAGACTTCGCATTTCACCCCGAATAAGGAAAACTTTTTATAGAGAAAGCACTTTCCATGATGATACTTGATAAGAAAAAGAAGCAAAGTTTTAACCTGGTCAATATTGAGTTTTGAATCGTGCTCATCTTCAGATCATGATCTTTTTGGGATGTTGGTGTTCTGTATGCTGGCTATATATTAGCGTAGTTAATATCTTAGCGTTAATGTAATAGGTTTATGTTATTAAAGTTAGGACACAAATCAATCTTATGTATATGCGACAAAAAAATGTAGCGGATGTTGAAAACGAGCGATCGATTGTCTTACGCTGTCTCACAGCAAACCATTGGCTGCAAACATTTTATCAAGTGTTGATTTGATCCAATCCTGGAAAACATGAAAGTCTTGCCTTATTTTTAGTTTTTCAAAACTCTGACACAAGTGGTAGTTTGAAGCAAATACCCAAACGTACAGATTTCTAAAAGAATTTCAGTCCCTAATTTTTCTGGCATTCCCTTTGAATTACACAAATTCCTAGTGCTGGGGCGAGCGAGGGAAATATCTATGAAAGGGCATTCTGGTCCGAACGCTCAGCACAATATATAGCGCGTTTATATTAAAAAGTTTTTGTCGGTTGCAATCTATACGCGGAAGCATTTGAATAATAACCTATGATGTCATACTATCATACACATTACCCTCTATGACGAAATAATATATATACACTAACTTTGATACAATTATTCATTGGCCATGTATGATTCATTGATAAACTTAAATATTACATAAAAATGACATTGAAATTACAGACTTTTTGACAGTGTGGAATTAGAAAGTTGCAGCATTTTATTTTTGCTCGGGCTCACATATAGGTCGTTGTATTACAAAGCTAGTTTACTTATGTTTGTTCGAATGTAGCTCTCAGTGAAAAGAGTATTAAAAGAAAAATTACACGCAAACTCTGGGGAAGAGAAGAGTTATTTTAGGATTCTATTCACAAATTTAGCGATTGCAATAAAATCAATCTGCAATGGAATCTTTCAGGTTGTTGTTCATGTGCATTGGATTCGCAACAACAGGTGAATTATTTATTATGGATAATTTTTTGCTGGAATGTGACTGAGCGTCGACTGCTTTTTAAAGTTTTACGCTGTTTTATATCACACGAAATCAAACGCAATTCCGGGGGAGTCCCCTCTCCCATTTTAACAAAACCAAAATTTGAAACAATTCCTAAATTTTCAAGTCAAAAGTGGAAGAAATTTCGGATTGAAATATCAAAACAAAAAGGGAGTTTTTGTTACACAATGTTATCCAGGGTCGGACCCAAATTTCCTCTTTTCAATTTTCTTCGAAATTGAAGTCTTATATTTAAATATCTGTGAGCCGAGTCTTGATTTCTCGGGTTGAGCTGTTTGTAGTTTTTATCAATCCCTTGATATGGTTCATGAAAAACTCGATCAATTTGATTTTCTGGTGTATTGGGTCGTCGGAAATGCTTTGTAGGATGCATGTACGCAAAATATGTAATGTTAAAATATATTTTTCTTTCCCCTTTAAACAGTCAGCTAAAAGTATTCTATTTTTGCATTTCCAGTCGACATTATTGTGAAAGTTCGATTTAGGGGCAGTGCAGTTATGACGCCATACCAATATGAGGAAACGACCACGGTGAGTAATTAGGGCCTATTTTGATGATCATTAACCTTTCTTATAGCTGACTCAACTTTATTGTTTCATTTTACAGGCAAAGAATGAGACAGGTGAGTTACGGGTTAACCCACTGCGTTATTCTCTTTTATGAAGTAAATTTAAAGACTGCGATAGCTTTGTGATTTGGGGAATTTAAAAGCATTTAGTTAATGAAGTCGAATTTGGCAAACATGTTTTAAAACTATTATCGAATTCGAGAGTTGTTAACAAATAGTAGTTGCATCCGAATATACTGTATTTCACGGGACGCTTCAGAAGTATTTTTATCAATATCGTGGTAATTAATTTTGTTCGCCTACTTCACATCAAGTTGTGTAAAGGGACGGAAGCTTATGGGCAGGCGTATGTTGAATCTATTTTCTCCCCAAAAAATCGGTTGTGCACCTTATAAGCCGGTCCGCCCCATGTATGATCAATCGGTTCCATTGTTTTTAAACCGACGCAACCAAATCAAACCTAAGCTACTCATTGGACGTGCGCCTTATGCTCCACAAAATACGGTACTCAACAGTAAAGTAGAAGTTGAAAAATACCTTAATTTTTGTTTTGTACAAAATTGAGGGCGAAATTGACTGAAAAGCTTGAAAACGCTTTACTGGACAAACAGATTGATGAGGTTACTATAACAACCAAAGTATTCCATGGCAACGAGGTTCATTCAACCCAGGTCATCAAGTTTGACGTAACAAATCCAAATGAACTGGATGGCACTACTTTCGTTACCACTACTGACGGTGATGACATCACCGTTACGTCATCTAGCTTCCAAACAGAGAAAGATCGTGAGGTCACAACAACGACTGTGATCGAAAACGTGTTCGCAGCTCGATCGATCACTTCCACTGCTCCCACTAGAATGACTAGATCGTTCCAAAAGTCGACCGCGGCTAAAAGTTAGATTTTTTTCGTTTACTGATAGTAGATTGTTTAGCGGCACTACGAGTTAGGCCGTCTATGTAAGCGAGGGTGTGTGTTGTTCACACATTT